GGGCCGCTGTGAGCCAATCATCAGCTGGCAGTCTGAAGGGCAGGGAAACAGCCCAATGAACATCACCGCAGAGGAGCCAATCAGCTACATGTTACTGGGGCCGCTGTGAGCCAATCATCAGCTGGCACCTGGAAGTTTGCTGGGGCCCCTTTGGCTGTGGCTCTCAACACCCAGCACAAAAGTAAAGAGTTATTATTATTCATAGACTCGGGTGGAATTTGTCATTTTTGTGTTTAGAAAGCTGCATAGGTGATTTTGATAGTGTTATTGAATCTAACAAGGAAGATGCTTTGTGTTGCTGTTGAAACAGGGTTACACTTTGTTGCTTAAGCTGGTGTTGAACTGCTGGGTTCAAGTTATTTTCCTGCCTCATTCCAGTACTGAATGACAGCATAGTCTACCTTGCCAAGGAGTAATAAGATCAATTTTTTTAACCAGGCATTGCTGTGAATGTCTGTAAACCCAGCGACTAGGAGGCTGAAGCTCTAGAAGGGTCAAAAGGGGCTGGGGATGTGGCTCAAGCGGTAGCGCGCTCGCCTGGCATGCGTGCAGCCCGGTTCGATCCTCAGCACCACATACAAAGATGTTGTATCCGCCAAATACTAAAAAAATAAATATTAAAAATATTCTCTCTCTCTCTCTCTCTCCCTCTCTCTCTCTCTCTCTCTTTAAAGAAAAATAGAAGGGTCAAAAGGTTTGAGTCCAACCTCAGCAATTTCATGAGCCCCTGTCTCAAAAAAGCAGGGTAGGGGCTGGGGATGTAGCTCAGTAGTACTGCAGCCCTGGGTTCTATCCCCAGTGCTAACTAAAAAAGAAAAAAAATTAAAAACTTGGCCCTAGTCAAAGGATAAAATTATAAGGATTGTAAATGACTATTGAGGCAACTCTTCATCCTGTAAAATAAAGTATTCCTCATGGTTACAACTAAGGATGTTGGTTTTACAGACAGAAGGGATTGAAGAAAGGTGAAGCAAAAATAAAAAGCAGATTGGTCATTTTGTATTCTCCTTGTAGCCAAGTGTAGAGGTAAGGCAGAGAGGGAGCCTGGCACAGTAACTCCGGAGGGTGAAGCAGGAGAATCTCAAATTCAGGCCAGCCTGACAATTTAGTGAGACACTGTCTCAAAACAGAAAAGGCTGGTGATGTAGATGGGTAGTAAAGTGCCCCTGGGTTTAATACCCAAGATTGTAAATTGTCTGGCAGGGAGAGGAGGGGGAATGAGAAAGAGAAAAAAGGATTAAAGCAGAAGGAACTTCATTATCAAACCTGGCCTGCACATAGTTTTTGCTAACATCAACCTAAACCTGATTTGTCAGGTCAGACAAACAGCTTAGTTTTTCACCTTGATAATATAAAACTTTATCATGAGCAACTCCATTTTAATTTTTAGCTTGGTTTGTTATAACCTATACAGGAGTTTAGTCAAAAACAGTGGCCTTCTGTAATTTTTATTTGGGAGGGAAGGGTACTAGGGACTGAGCCCAGGAGCATTTAACCATTGAGCTACTCTCAAGCCTTTTTATTTTTTATATTAAGACAGGACCTTGCCAAATGGCTGAGGCTGGCCTCCAAACTATTGATCTTCCTGTTTCAGGTTCCCAAGTTGCTGGAATTAGAGGCATGAACTGTTTTCGAAGGATTGGTCCTTGTCCCAGAAAAAAGCGGAGTAGGGGCTGGGGATGCAGCCCCTACCCTTCCAATCCAATAACTAGGATGCAATTTTGAGAAAAGGGAAAAAAGGTTTATTGCTTTGCTAGCAAAGGAGAAACACAGGGGACTCCTGTCCCAAAGGCTGTGACTGCCCATCATTGGGAACAGGGTTTTTATAGAGGTGATTCAGAGAAAATGAGATAGGGGCTAGAGATCAGAAAGGAAAAGGTCAGGGAGAAGAAGTTAGGGAAAAGAATATCAAAGAAGATCAGGGAGGAGAAGGTTAGGGAAAAGAAGACTGGTGGGGGGGACATGTAAGTCTCAAAGCCCCAAGGGATATAGTCAGAGCATCAAGTGGAACCCCTGTTACAGTACCACAGTGCCTGTAATTTTCAGTGAACCCTCTTCATTTACACACTCTGATTTCATATCCTCATACTCTTACATCACCCCAAACACAGAAACACAGTCCCTCAGTTATTTACTGACACTGTTACAGGGGTTCACTTGATGTTTGGACAATATCCCTGTTGCTTTGGAACTTAAATTTTTTTTTCTCCATCTTTTCCCTGAACTTTCCCGAATCTTCTCCTCCCTGATCTCTCCCGCCCCCATCTCATTATCTCTGAATCATCTTTTTAAAAAACCCTGTTCCCCATGATGGGCAGAATCACAGCCTTTGGGATAGGAGTCCCCTGTGTTTCTTCTTTATTAGAAAGTAATAAACTATCTTTTTCCTTTTCCTCAAAGCCGTGTCCTTCTTATTGGATTGGCATTGGGAACAAGACTGAGATCTCAGTAACACCACCACCTAAACTACCTGCTTCCTGCCTTCTTTCCTGACTCCCATTGTATGACTCCTTCAATTTTACTCACTTGGGCTAGGGTTGTGGCTCAGTGGTAATTTGCTCCCCTAGCAGTGCTAGGCCCTGGATTCCAAGCTCAGCACCACATAAAAATAAAATAAAGATATTGTGTCCATCTACAACTAAAAAAATAAAATATATATTTTTTAAAATTATACACACTCATTCCCTTGCTCACATTCATGCCCTCATCTAACTATTTGTGCTTTCAACTAGACACTTGCACACTCCCTTAGATATAGTCACCCTCAATAAATGTGATTCCTAATTTCCCTTAAGCAGATGTGCTCTTCCCTTTATTCAGACACATTTTCCCTTTTATAATGTTAGAGAAAGTTGACTGACCAGTACTATATACTGGTCAATGTTTAACAACCACCTCTCGAGGCAGGGAGAGGAGAAATCTGATTAGTAGCCTTTGCCAATACCTATGTTGTAAATACCCTGAGCATGGCCAGTTTCAAGTTACCAAAGGTTTCATAACCTGTTCACAGAATTCCAGAGGATTTAACACTGACTCTTCCAAACCCTCTGCTCCAGCACACCATTGAATGTTGACTATCCCAGATTTCCTTACTTCCTTACTTGCTATAAGTGACTCATTGACCTTGTGGCAGGATTACTGACTGCAAGGATTTTTAATTTTCTACCTTAAAAAAGCAATGGATTACACAGTTAACATGTATTATTTACCTTAAAAGGTTGTCATGAGGTGCTGGGTTTTCTTTATTTGTTTTGTTTTTTGGTTTTTGAGGTACTGTGGATTGAATCTGTTTTGAGACAGGATCTCAGCAAGTTGCTCAGGCCAGCCTCAAAGTTGCAATCCTTGTGTCAAATGTCTGAAATTATATCACACCCAGCTGTGCTGAGGCTTTAAGTTAGGTCATTTTGATTAAAGAAAGAGGGAGAGTGAGAAAGGAAGAAGAAAAGAAAGAAGCCAGGTGCAGTGGCATGCGCCTGTAATAACAGCAGCTCCGGAGGCTGAGGTATGAGGATCATGGGGCTGGGGATGTGGCTCAAGCGGTAGCGCGCTCGCCTGGCATGCGTGCGGGCCGGGTTCGATCCTCAGCACCACATACCAACAAAGATGTTGTGTCCGCCGAGAACTAAAAAATAAATATATAAAAAAATTCTCTCTCTTTCA